GGATTCCATTGTCCGCCGCACCGTGACACTGCAGATTTCCTGCTGGATCTGGGCACGAATCAGCAGACCAAGTACCAGGATACTCTGCCTGCAGGCATGACCAAGCACCCTCGTTGGCCTGCCGAATTCGGACAGATTTTCCAGGAATCAAGGATTTATCACGACACGCTTGTTCGCCTTGAAGAGCCATTCCGACAAGAACTGAAAGAGAACGTGAAGACGCACATGGATTCTATGCCAGAATTCCACCAGTCGTTCCAGGAGAACACATTGACAATCTTCAAGCGGCAAATGATGATCATGTTGCGTAACGTCGCCTTTATCCGAGGAAGAGGCTTCATGGTCATTCTGATTGGACTTCTGTACGGTAGTACGTTCTACCAATTGAAGGTTACGGACGCCCAAGTTGTAATGGGCGTCTTGTTCCAAGCTGTTTTATTCCTCGGACTGGGCCAAGCTGCGCAGATCCCCACGTACTGTGACGCTCGCCCCATTTTCTACAAGCAACGTGGCTCCAATTTCCTGCGTACAACCGCCTACGTCCTTGCCAATTCAGTCAGCCAAATTCCATGGGCCGTCGCGGAGACGATCGTGTTCGGTTCGCTCGTCTACTGGATGTGTGGACTCAAGTCATCCGTCAAGGCCTTCGTGATCTTCGAGATCCTGTTGTTGTTGACAATTCTGGCCTTTGCGGCCTGGTTCTTCTTCTTGGCAGCTATCTCTCCAAACCTCCACATTGCCAAGCCATTGTCGATGGTATCTGTGCTATTCTTTGTGGTCTTTGCGGGATTCGTCGTACCGAAGAGCGAGATGCCGGGCTATTTCATTTGGATTTACTGGATCGATCCCATCGCGTGGTGTCTTCGTGGCATTGCTGTGAACCAGTACCGCTCGGATGAGTTCGATGTGTGCGTATACGGCGGCGTTGACTACTGCAGCACGTATCAGATGAAAATGGGCGAGTACTTCTTGTCGCTGTACGACGTTCCGTCAGCCAAGAGCTGGGTGTGGCTTGGAATGGTCTTCCTGCTCGTGACATACGTCGTGTTCCTGGTCTTCGGAGTATTGGTGCTTGAGTACAAGCGCTATGAAAGCCCTGAACATATTACGTTGACTGCTGAGAACACCGAACCCGTTGCTACTGATGACTACGCACTTGCAACGACGCCCACCAGCGGACGAAAGACTCCAGCTACGGGTAACGACAACGTCGCACTCAATGTGCGAGCCACCACCAAGAAGTTTGAGCCTGTTGTCATCGCATTCCAGGACTTATGGTACTCTGTGCCAGATCCTCACAACCCGAAGGAATCGCTTACACTGCTCAAGGGTATCAGTGGATACGCTATGCCGGGTTCCATTACGGCTCTCATGGGATCTACGGGTGCTGGTAAGACGACTCTCATGGATGTCATTGCTGGCCGGAAGACGGGAGGTACCATTCAGGGCAAAATTCTGCTCAATGGCTACGAAGCGAGCGATCTGGCTATCCGACGATGCACAGGTTACTGCGAACAAATGGATATCCACTCGGACGCGTCGACTATCCGCGAAGCATTGGTCTTCAGCGCCTTCCTGCGTCAAGACAGCTCGGTACCAGCCAGTCAGAAGTATGACTCAGTGGAGGAATGCCTCGAACTTCTGGATCTACAGAGTGTAGCGGACGAGATTGTGCGTGGCAGCCCAACAGAGCGCATGAAGCGTCTGACGATTGGTGTGGAGCTTGCCGCTGACCCGAAGGTATTGTTCCTGGATGAGCCTACTAGTGGACTGGATGCACGCTCAGCCAAGCTCATCATGGACGGCGTTCGTAAAGTTGCAGACACAGGTCGCACCATCGTGTGTACGATCCACCAGCCTTCCACCGAGGTGTTCATGCTCTTCGACAAGTTATTGCTGCTAAAGCGTGGAGGTCAGACGGTGTACTTCGGTGACCTGGGCAAGCGTGCGCAGACCATGGTGGACTACTTCG